ATCTAAATTCAAAATAAAAATATATTTAAATATCAAAATTATTTACAACAAAAAAGATAGTATCATGTTCATTATCATTTAAGCAATGCACTATTCCCGTACACACAAGAAGTCATAAAAACATGAAATACTTAATCTTCATCAGGAGGGGCTTGTGTTTCATCATTTTGTTTACTTCCCTCATTTGTTGAATTTCTACCATCAAAACTGCATTTGAAGATGATGCTCCATGATTTGAGAAAATAGGGAAGTGGCAAACTATCATGGTATTCTTCAACCTTTGTTAAACAGGAAAGTGGCAAACAACCATGGTATCATGGAACATAGAAAAAGGTGAAATTAAATAAATAAAACTCATCATACTGACATTATAATGGACTTGCAAAAGTGCATATGCAAAACACCAACTTAAGTAATCTGAACTAGCATCTAGAAACTCTGAAACTGTATGCATATTCGGAATTATAAGATAAACTGAAGATTGAGCTCAAGTAAGAAATCAAAGCAGTGTCATTACTCATTAGAAAATACTCCTGTTCAAAACAAAAGCAAAACAAAAAAGCTCATCTACTTTTACTTGGAAAACATCTTTCCTCCCAAGGCTACCATCCTCCTGAATTTCACCCTATCACCTTTTAACAAATATGCTTTTAATTACATCCTCAATATACCAATTCAAAGAGAGAAGTTCACTGAATCAAGAGCCTCATAGTCCACAGGTGACTCAACACTACACAATCAAAATAGTTATAGGGATGTACAAGGCCTTATTTCAACTGTCATAGATACATACACATGCACACATATGACTGCAAATTGTTCTTGTAGATACTGTGAAACAGTACTATCTCCCTTAATTGCTCCTAAGGTTCACAATACCAGTGCTAATCATTCATGCAGAAGATAAGCTTAGAATAGATATGAGGCCAATAACTTGAATGTGACAAACTAGATTCATAGTTATTATTAACTTACCTATCTAAAATGTTCAAGAGCTTCTGTGCTGACTTTACACGGACCTGTATACTTAAACCAACAACAACAAAGATGAACTGCCCTATTTGAGTCCACAATTTCTGTGCAAACACCGTATGTAACACCAATTGAAACACCCAAAACAACAACAAAATTTATAGTTAAAAGGGAAAACAGAAATTGCTACTAATATTGCTGCATTTCTTTTTAGAGTTTATGTTTTTCTTGTAGGAGTAGAAGCAATAAAGATCTTAGTTCATACCAAAATAGTAACCGACAACTCCCGCTATTGTCACCGTAATTGCACTTGTAACAGATACAAGAATAAATTCTGTCAACACCTGCAACAAATCTGTTCATATAAGGAAAAAAAGAAATGCATACATGAAAAAAAAATTACCAAAAAAAAAACATAATTAACCTGACTTGTAAACTAATAAACTAATTACCAATTAAAGGGATTTAAAGCACTAGTAAACCTATCCCTTGACATAAGTGGGCATCATACAATTTTTAATTATGCAAAATTCAATTCCTCAACAATGTTAAAAAGTTTCCTCTCTATATAGTAACAGATATAGAATTCAAAGCTCCTGATAGACATGTAAGGTTGATGGAATGTAAGTCAAATCTGCTAAAGGGAGAAAACCTAGCTGGTAAGTTGATCTGCCAAGAAGAAATCTGGCAATGTCACCTGTTAAAACATGAAATTTCATATTTTCTGCAAAGCATAAAGCTCAAACATTGCAATAATGAGTATAATACATTACAACAAAGTATTAGAATTCTTATTCTTAATTTAGGGCTTAAATGAAATTAAGATTTTTTGATAAATGGAATTAGGAATTTACGGATTAGGGTTTACGATTTAGAGTAATAGAACCTGCGGACGGCGACGTACAGCTGCAACGACGAAGACCCATGCGTGGCTTGCGGTGCTGTGGGCGATGACCTGACCAAGCTAAGGCGACGAAGACAGAGTTGGTGGAGAAACGGTAGGAAAAGGCGGCTTACGGCGATGGATTTGGTGTGGGAACGACATGTCTGAGCAGCGGGAAGAGGTGCGGCGACGGATTTGGAGTAGGGCTGAGTGTTAGAGCGTGTGAGTGAAGCTTAGTATGTGAACCATTGTTTTGATTTTTGAACATGAGCAGGGTAGGGTACCGCCCAAAGGGCTATTTAGGTTTTCAACAAAATTTGTGCAATTTCGAATTGTTAAAGTACTTCTAAAATTTTGTAAGTATGAGCTAAAATAGGGAGGTAAAGACTTAAATATTCTAATTTCCGTCTAACAATAATGTTGGACGGTATTATTTTGTATTTCACCCAATGGTCAATTTAGTTTTCCGTCCAACGTGCAACTGTTGGACGGAATTTCTAACCAACATTTAGTGTCAGTCAGAACTTCCGTTCAACGTACGAGTGTTGGACGGAAATTCCATCCAACTTTCCGTCCATTCTTATTTGCAATGGAAAGTTATGATTTTTTACAAATTACCGACCAATATTATTGTTGGACGGAAATGTTGGACGGAAATAGTGAAATTTCCAGAAGTTGAGGGTAAACCCGCAAAATGTCGGATGTGGTCAAGACTTCAGCCAAGGTAGTGGATGTATAAACTGGAACTCCATCAATTGAATCAGAGTGACGAGGGCTTGTAGGTTTGACAGCTTCAATTTCAGTAGACAGCTTAGGAGAAACATCAACCGGGCAAACTTCAACCGGTGACTTAGCAACATCAGATATAGGCACAACAAAAATTGCAGATCGCTCAATATCAGCGGAGTAAACAACCAGACTCAAATTTTCTACTTTATCAGATTGTTTAACTTTTTCTTCAGACTCACTGTCAAGGGCAACTTTTGTAGACTCAATTTTTTCAGAAGATAAACGATGATGATCATCAGACATAGAGGATTTCGTAGACAGTAAAGCATTCTCATTATCAGATTGTGCAATAGGTAGAGCAGACTCAATATCATCAGGCTTATCAGGAGAAATCTCAATAGGAGTTTCAGAAGTATTAGACCTGTTACGAAGAATCTCAAGACGGTGTTTGCCTTCGTCCTGTGCAGCTTGAAGGTAGAGAGATTGAGCTTCTGCCCGTCGACGCGAGACTTCTTCCGATTCCAGAGCCCTTTGGGCAAAATATTGGAGGAAAGCCCCAGCACGGTTTCCATCTTCAGGCTCAGTAATGGACGCAGGGCTAACATCGTCACTCGCTTATGAGGCCAACATCAAAAGATCACTTGTATCATCGTTGGACCAGTCCGCATAGAACTCCGGGTAGTCTGAAATCATTGTGACTATGATTTCGTCGCGAAGAGCAGAGTCTAGCTTCAACTTCTTTTTCATTGCGAGTTGGAGGAGTGTTTTGACATGCTTCGTAGCGGTTTCTGGTGAATGGATTTTTCTTCCCAGCTTGATGATAATATTTCTCACTGCATCCGCCATAGTTGTGTGATTTGGGAAGAAGAGAGAAACTCTAGGTAGAAGATCAGTAAGAGATTAACAGAGAGCAAAGTAGTGTTTAGGACTCTTATTTCATCAATATTGACCCGATGAAATATATAATCCCAAGGGTGATGAACACTATTCAATGCGGCTGTCAGAATGCATGTAGTTGAGATGTGATTGATGCAACTGTATAGCTCCTTTTTAGGGATTAAACGGAAGATTTGAATTTTGAATGGGCAAATTAAATATGGTAACCATGGTTAAGATATTATCTTAACATAAACAGAAGAGAGATTAAAAAGGAAGTCAAAGATGTAATTTTGACCCGAGATTGAGACCATCATACACTCTCCTTCTGTATTATCATTCTACCTTACTAATCAATCCTGCAGATTCCCAGAGCAGATATGAGAATCTCAAACCGATTTGCGTCTAGAGGCTTAGTCAGTATGTTAGCCAATTGCTTGTCTGTTTGAATATATTCCAACTCTATCTCCTTTGATTTTACCAAATCTTTGATATAGTGATGTCTTATGTCAATATGCTTCGTTCTGGAATGTTGAACTGGGTTCTTTGAAATGTTTATTGCACTGGCATTGTCACAGTAAAGTGTCATAGTCCTTTGAGTGAGACCATAATCTAGAAGCATTTGCTTCATCCAGACCAGCTGGATGCAACATCCTCCAGCTGCTATATATTCTGCATCTGCAGTACTAAGAGAGATAGAATTCTGTTTCTTGCTTAGCCATGATTCTAAATTCTTACCCACAAAGAACCATCCACCTGATGTACTCTTTCTGTCGTCAATATTTCCTGCCCAATCAGCATCACAATATGCAATCAGACTAAGTTCACCGTCCTTGGAATACCATATCCCATATTGAATTGTTCCCTTGATGTATTTCAAGATCCGTTTAGCAGCTATCAAATGTGACTCTTTGGGATCAGATTGATATCTTGCACACATTCCAACACTGAACATTATATCTGGTCGACTGGCGGTTAAGTAGAGCAGACTTCGATAAACTGTGTTATCCACTGATGGACCAGTATCATCTTTTAATATCTTTGTGGAGCTGGAAATAGGAGTCACGGGTGTTTTGCATGATTCCAGATCAAACTTTTTGACCAAATTCTTAGCATACTTTTCTTGTGAGATAAAGTAGCCTTCAAGACTCTGTTTCACTTGAAGTCCTAGAAAATAAGTCAGTTGACCAACCATGGACATTTCAAATTCTTCCTTCATAACCTTCACTAAGTCATCAGTATATTTCTGTAGGGTAGATCCGAAGACAATATCATCTACATAAATCTGAGTTATAGTAACATGACTTCCAGTGGTTTTAACAAACAAGGTCTTATCGACACTTCCTCGATTGTACCCATGATGCAACAGATACTGTATCAGACGTTCGTACCATGCCCTTGGAGCTTGTTTGAGCCCATAGAGAGCTTTTCTGAGCTTGTAGACATGTGTTGGATGAACTGGGTCTTCAAATCCTTTAGGTTGTGCCACATAAATATCTTCATGCAGGTACCCATTCAAGAACGCTGTCTTAACATCCATCTAAAACAGTGTGAATCCTAGAATACACGCTACTGCCAATAAGATTCTGATTGACTCCAGTCTTGCAACAGGAGCAAACGTTTCATCATAGTCAATTCCCTCTATTTGGGTATATCCTTGAGCAACTAAACGAGCCTTGTTTCTTGCAATGTTACCGGCTTCATCGGTTTTATTTTTGAAGATCCACTTTGTTCCAATTATGTTAACCCGGTCAGGTCTTGGTACCAGATCCCATACATGATTTCGTTCAAACTTATGTAGCTCTTCTTGCATTGCCTTAACCCATAAGTCATCCTGTAAGGCTTCCTTCACATTTTTTGGTTCTATTTTTGAGGTGTAGCAAGCAAAGCCGGATATTTCTATCAGATTGCTTCTCATCCGACTCCTTGTGTTCATTCCATCTGATGGATTACCAATTATGTTATCTTATGGATGATTTTTTTGAGTTCTGGTGGGCTTATTCTTACCATCACCATCCGAGAGAGTGTTCTCCTGTTCAGGACTATCTTTATCTTCTTATGAGGAATCATGTGTGTCAGACAGTTTGGTTTTCTCAGCTGTTTTTAACGATTCACTGATAGGGAGATCTATCTCTGGATCAATCACTGATGTTTCATCTGATTCTTCAGGATTATCATCTATAACAACATTCACAGATTCCATGACTGATTGAGTTCTCTTGTTGTAAACTCTATAGGCTCGATTGTTTGGAGAGTATCCAAGGAAGATGCCCTCATCACTCTTGGGTTCAAACTTTCCTCTTTGTTCCCTATCGATTAGAACATAGCATCTTGTTCCAAACACATGAAAGTACTTCAAATTTGGCTTTTTCCCCTTCCATATCTCATATGGTGTCTTGGACGTACCTGGTCTGAGATAGACTCTATTCACTGTATGACATGCTGTGTGCACTACTTCAGCCCAGAAACGCTGTGGCAGATGCGATGCATGTAACATCACTCTAGCCATTTCCTGCAAGGTCCAATTCTTTCTTTCCGCCACACCATTCTGTTGTGCTATTCTAGGAGCCGAGAACTCATGAGCTATCCCATTTTCGGAACAGAAATTTGAGTATAAGGAGTTTTCAAACTCTTTCCCGTGGTCACTTCTCAGTCTTTGGATTTTTATAATGGGCTCGTCTTTTTCTTTTTGTACTCTTATGCATAGAGTCTTGAAAGCATTGAATGCCTCAGATTTTTCTCTCAGAAAGTATACCCAACTGAAACGAGAGAAATCATCTACACACACAAAGATGTATTTCTTTCCGCCAATGCTTTCAATCTGAGTTGGTCCCATGAGGTCTATATGAACCAGTTCTAGACATCTCTCAGTAGTGATTATCTTTACTGCTCTGTGAGGAGCTCTTATTTGTTTTCCAATGGCACATGCACCACAAACTCCTTCCTGTTCTATTTTGAGCTTAGGTATCCCACGTACAACATCTAATTTGATCATTTTGTCCATATCTCTAAAGTTTATGTGTCCCAATCGTCTATGCCACAGTTTTGATTCGTCTATTCTAGATATTAGAAATGCAGTTTCATTTGTCAGAACATAACAATTATCAGAAGATCGTGTTCCTTCCATCACCACTTGATCTGCTTTATCACAGACTCTGCAGCAGTCACGATTGAAGCACACATTCCAATTCTGATCACACAGCTGGCTGATGCTAATAAGATTTTCTTTCAAACCACTGACTAAGAGAACTTCATCCAGATGTGGCAAACCTAGTACATTTAGGATACATTTTCCAACTATCCTTCCTTTCTGTCCGTCTCCATACGTGACTGATCCACTGCTAGGTTGAACAGCCATGAGACACTTGACATTCCCAGTCATATGTCTGGAGCACCCACTGTCGAAATACCATCTTGCTTCAGTCATAGAAGTGGTCAGAACTATTGTGGGATAGCATATTACTTCTGATTTCCTGACCCAAACCTATCTTGTGAAGGGGGTAATAGACTTGTTCTGATATTCCTCCTTCCTCTGATCTTTGTAGAAGAAGTAACAATTCAGGTCGGGTGTGTCCTTTTGTTTGACAGTAATGACATATGGGTACGTATTGTCTAACTTTTACAAATTTAGTCTTGAACCTTGAGTAATGAGATTGAAATTTGACTCTGACAGACTCAGTCTCAGCAATTCGAGTGTGCATGATTCATTTCTGCTTTATCTTTACTGACCGTGATGACTGACCTTGTTCATAACTATGAACCGGTTTACCAACTGATGTACCTTCTTTGATAAACACTGGTGTTGTCTTCGAGGACTCTCCTCGTTCAAAACCGAGTCCCTTTTTATCATTGGGGTTTCGGCCAGAATCCAGAATTTTGTCTAAGGTAGAAGTGGTATCCATCATCTTGATGTTCTTTTTTAGATCCTCCAGTTCTTTTATCAACTTTCCCTCTCGAGATCTTATCTGAGTAATAAGATCTTCTTTTGTGACTAGATCAGTGTTTAGTTTCTTCAGGAGTTCATCTCGCTGCTTCAGATCTTCATTCAGATTCTTATTGACTTTCACCAGTTGTTCCCAACTTCCAACTAGTTTAGCAAATTCCATTTCTAGTTGAGTATGCCTCTCTTCAAAGTCATCTGATTATATGTACGATTCTTCATCGGTTTCATTCTCTTCTGATTGATTCTCTGTAGCTGTAAAGAAGGCCACGAAGTTTCCCACATTGTCATCGGTCTGGTCATTAGATGCTTCCTCCTCATCATCACTTAGGGTTGCCACAGACATAGCTTTCTTCCTTTTGAGATACGTTACACATACAGATTGTATATGTCCGAATCCTTCACACTCTCGACATTGCACTGATCGGTTTAGAGGTCTAACTGTGTCAGTTGAATTACTTCTGATTTGTCGTGTTCGACCAGTCTGAGACTGACTGTTCTGTGTGAAGGAGGGCGTTTATGTTTTCTGATAAGAGGAGTTTCCACTTTTGTAATGTGTCCTGTTAGGTTGTCCTTGACTCCTTCGATTGACGAAGCCTTTCAATATTTTCTTAAAATTCTTTGTTAGCAGGGCCAAAGCTTCATCATCTATGTCATTTGTGTCAGATCCTCGATCAGCTTCAGCAACAAAGGCCACTGACTTGCCTTTTCTGCTGACTGCAGGTTCATCATCAGCCAGCACTTCAAGTTCATAAGTATGTAGATTTCCCATAAGTTCTCCCACACTCTTCTTCTCTCATCCTGTGTGTTCCTGAATTGCAATCACTTTCATTCGAAAACGTTTTGGTAGAGATCGAAGGATCTTCTTGACCACTCTTTCATTAGTAAACGGTTCACCAAGTATTGAGGCTCTATTCATCAAATTCTGAACCCGACTGTGAAAAATTGAGATCGTTTCCTCTTCACATATTCTGAGAGCTTCAAACTCTGACAGTACCAACTGAAGTTTTGACTGCTTGACATCACTGGTACCCTCGAATCTGGTTTCAAGAATTTCCCATACTCGTTTTGCTTCTTTCATCTCAGTGACTAAGGTAAAGACTGATTCATGCAGAGATCCTACAATAGAATTCAGTGCTTTATTGTTCAAATCAGAGGACGACATCTCATATTCAGTCCATGTCTCTATAGGTTTAGCCCCAACAGTTCCGTCAGCATTCTGAACAGTTGGAGGACTCATCCGGTGAGAACAGTACGAGAAACTCTGGTACCTTGTGCTTGAAGGTAAATCTCCATTCGAGCCTTCCAGAAAGAGTAGTTGTGACCATCCAATCTGGTGGTTTCATACTTGCATCCATCCTGAATCAAAAGACAACCAGCCCAAACCACACAAGCAGAGAGCAAACAAACTGCCAACAAACAACCAAGTAAACAACTTCCTCAAGAGAGAACAATGCAAAAAATTCTTCACGCAAGATCAAGTCATTATGTATACTTAAAAGCTCTGATACCACATGTAATTTTGTATTTTCTCATTTTAAGATTATTATTAGAGATAATCGACTGATGTATTGGACTGACTGAATCGGAGACGTGAATTGTCCATCAGTTAGCTAGATTGCAGAGTTGTTTGTAGAGGAAAAACTAGAGCAGATAATAAAACAACACATACGATGTTTACCCAGTTCGATACAGTCTGTATCTACATCTGGGGACGATCACCGAGGCGTCCAATCCACTAACTCATAATCCAATGTACAAAGGTAGAGAAACAACAATCTCACCCAAGTGCCCCACACAAGGTACGTACCCAGTCTACAAAGGTATAGTGGATTGTTGATGACGGAGAGCCACGCATGCAGAAGTCCAATGAAATCCCTTCAATTGGAGAGCTAACTCTGATGCAGTCCGCTTCAATGACGCAGTCCCACGTTGTTCCCACAACTAAGTGATCTTTGCGTCCTTTCGTTTAAGCAATGATAGTTCTTCTCAAGTCATGGTTGCAGTAGGCGCTAGGCGCTAGTCGGGCGGCCGGGCAGCGCCTAGCGCCTAGGCGGTCTAGGCGGCGCCTAGGCGGATTCTAGGCGGCGCTAGGCGGGCACCAAAAAAATTAAAAAAAATAGTAACAGACTTGTAGTTCGACAATTTTAATGAGGTTGTTTTCAACGTTCACTCAAATAACACATCTAAATAAATGAAATAATGATAATTTATAAGTCATAATGTCATAATAATATTAAAATCAATAATTAATGAAAGACGACATCGGTCAAAATCGGTCAAAATCGGTCAAAATCGGTCAAAATCGGACAAAATCGGTCGACTCGGCCGAGTTTGGCCGCCCAGGCCGCCTAGCAGCCGCCCAGGCCGCCTAGGCGGCCAGCCGAGTTTTGGCCGAGTTTTGGCCAAAACTCCAAGGCTCGGGGCCGCCTAGCGCCTAGGCGGCCGAGTTTTGCAACCTTGTCTCAAGTTCTTCATCATAATCACCAAGAACTTATTGTCTTAAGAAGAGGCATTAGAATCAAAGATATGTGTCTCTCAATAGCATGGAGTGTTTTCGTCTTCTTAAAACCGTAACCCTAATGCTTGACTGAATAAGGATACTTATACTTCCTTGGTAAGAACACTCTCCAAAAATATCTTTGATTGTAGATGGTAGGACAAATTGTTAAGAATGCAATCTTAAAGATTCGGTCCATACCTTCCAAAACAGATCCGCTGATTTTCTTTCCAAAACTGTCTTCTCAAACCGCGTTAAGCATTTTGGAAACATCTTCCTTTATCAGATCTTCAGTGTCAGTGCGTCTGTTGATGAACCTGATCAATCAGTCTTCTGTAACAATAAACAGACACCAAGCTAAACCCTATCTTAGTTTTCCATAATAATATTGCCAATTATATGTTGGGGTTTTTTGGAGAAAATAAAAACACTAACAAGTTCAACCATTATTGTTGAATAAATTATTATGGATAAAGAAATTCCTAATTTAAGAAAT